CTGACTTCGGCCGAGCTGGCCATCTTCTCCCTCCTAGGGTTTGGGGTTGGGAGGTTAGAGGCTTCGAAGAAGACCTGTTTCTCTGCATTTTCGTGGTTTGTTTGGTTTGGTGGGCTCAGGGTGCTCGGCTTCGTCAAGATTTCGTGGCAGGGTCGTGTGCCCTGGAAATTCAATGGGTTGTCAACAAGAAAAAGCAGTGTGGGGGTGGGGGGCTGGGGTGGTGGGGGGTGGGGGGGGGTGGGGGGGGGTGGGGGGGGGGTGGGGTGGGGGGGGGGGGGGTGGGGGGGGGTGAGGGGGGTGGGGGGGGGTGGGGGTGGGGGGGGTGGGGGGGTGGGGGGGGGTGGTGGGGGGGGGTGGTGGGGGGGGGGGGGGGGGAGTGGGGGGTGTGGGGTGGGGGTGGGGGGTGGGTGGGGGGGGTGGGGGTGGGGGGGGTAGGGGGTGTGGGGGGGGCCCTAGACACCTGGGACACTACGTTCCGGGTTTGGGGGTGAGGGGTGAGGAGTGGGGTGAGGGGCGGTGGGTGGGGCAGGGTGGGGCGGGGCGGGGGGGCGGGGTGGGGTGGGGCCACATGTCCTCTGGCAAAATGACTGCCTGTTTTCTGCCAAAAAGTCATTGTGCCACACGTTAGCAACCTGTGGCACAATGACTTGTTGCTTGTTTTTTGCTTGTTTCCTGCCAAAAAAGTAATTTTGCCACATTTTGGCAACCTGTGGCACAATGACTTGTTGCTTGCTTTTTGCTTAGAAGCCACGGTGCCACACGTTAGGCAACCTGTGGCACAATGACTGTTTTCTTGCTTTTTGCTTGTTTTCTGCCAAAAAATCATTTTGCCACATGTCAGCAACCTGTGGCAAAATGACTTTTTGCTTGTTTCCTGCCAAAAAGTCATTGTGCCACACGTTAGGCAACCTGTGGCACAATGACTTGTTGCTTGCATTTTGCTTGTTTTCTGCTAAAAAGTCATTTTGCCACATGTTAGCAACCGTTAAAAAGTCATTTTGCCACTTGCTTCGAGCTGCCAGTTTAAGTTTTTAGGGCCTCTCAACTGCTTGCTTCGAGCTGCCACTCAACTGCTTGCTTCGAGCTGCCAAGGGCCTCTCAACTGCTTGCTGCCAGCTGCCAGGGGCCAGTTGTGAGAGTTTAGAGCCTCTGAATCGCTTGCTTCGAGCTGCCACGGGCCAGGTGTTAAAGTTTGGAGCCTTTTAATCGCTTGCTTCGAGCTGCCAGGGACCAGTTGTGAGGGTTCAGAGCCTCTTAATCGCTTGCTTCCAGCTGCCAGGGGCCAGTTGTGAGAGTTAAGAGCCTCTTAATCGCCTGCTTCCACTGCGAGAGGCAGTTGTGAGAGTTTAGAGCCTCTTAATCGCTTGCTTCCAGCTGCCAGGGGGATTCCTTGGTCCAGATTTATCACAAAAATGGGTCGGCGTTTTGGGGGATTCTCACAAAAATGGATGAGCGTTCTGTGCCCTGATTTATCACAAAATGGGTTTAGGCCGGAAGCAGGATCTTGAGAGGAATCTGATCACAAAATCGAGGTTGCGTGCTGTGGCCGGCATTTTTCGAGCCACCCGTTCGGACCCCGGAGCTCTGTGGCAATGTGTTTTTGCGAGGAATCGCAGTTGAGGGGCCCTAAAAACTAAAAAACTGGCCCTTGGCAGCTCGAAGCAAGCAGTTGAGAGGCCCTAAAAACTTAAACTGGCCCTTGGCAGCTCGAAGCAATCAGTTGAGAGGCCCTACAAACTTAAACTGGCCCTTGGCAGCTCGAAGCAAGTGGCAAAATGACTTTTTGGCCGAAAACAAGCAAAAAGTCATCTTGCCAAAGGTTGCTAACACGTGGCAAAATGACTTTTTGGCAGAAAACAAGCAATCAACAAGCGAAAAGTCATGGTGCTACAGGTTGCCTAACGTGTGGCACAATGACTTTTTGGCAGAAAACAAGCAAAAAGTCATTCTGCCACAGGTTGCTAACTAACATGTTTGCATGCCCCACCCCCCCCCCCCCCCCCCCCCCCCCCCCCCCCCCCCCCCCCCCCCACCACTGCTTTTTCTTCTAATTTTCTTGACAACCCATTGAATTTCCGGGGCACACGACCCTGCCACGAAACCTCCTGAGCCCACCAAACCAAAAAACCACGAAACTGCAGAGAAACAGGTCTTCTTCGAAGCCTCTAACCTCCCAACCCCAAACCCTTGGAGGCCTGAGCTCCTCGAGAAGATGGCCAGCTCGGCCGAAGTCAGGCTGAGGTTTTGGAGTTTGGGGGTTTAGAGGCCTGGGCTTTGGGTTTGGAGCTTGGCTTTGGAGCTTGGCGGTTTGGCTTTGTTTTGGGTTTAGAGAAGCCTGGAGAAAACCCCAGCTACAAACCTACCATTAAAACTTTCTTCCTCTTTCCGGATCGAACAAGACGGTTTGAGCCAAAATGATCCTATGTAAGTCTATGTAAGTCTTTCTCTATTTTGCTCGGATCGAGGTAGTTCAGATAAAACAAGACGATGCTCCAAAGCCGCGGTGTCCACAAGACACAGGGGGCACCGAGTGCCTGTACACAGAGTCTCATGATGGCAATCGCCACAAATTACACGAGCCAACAGACTCTGATACTCATGATGCTGTAAGGCTTGTGTTTTCTGGAGGTTGAATATTTTTGAAGGTTGAACCACAGAGGCGGCCAATTTTGGTTTTGCATCATTGCAAAGCCCGAAAGAGGAAGATAGGGCCCAGGGAAAGTGAGACGGAAGACGGGTTTTCTGTCTTTGCTCCTTACAAGCCGAAATGAGGAAGAAGAGTTGGCGCCCAGTGTTGTTTTTTTTCTTTTTGTTTGTGTTTTTTTGTGTGTTGTTTTGTTTTTTTTGATTTTGTGTTGTTTTGATTTGTTTTTGTGTGATTTTTTTTTGTTTTTTTTTGTTTTTTTTTTTTTGTTTTTTTGTTTGGATTTTTTTTGATTTGTTTGATTTGAATTTTTTTTTTTGTTTTTTGTTTTTTTGAAAGTGAGACTGTCTTTGCCTCCTTGCAAGCCGAAATGAGGAAGATAGAGGCCAATCCCCCGGCCCATGCCAGGACAAGTACGGCCAGCTCCATTTCGAGACGCGCCGCCTTCACCTATGCATCGATGCATCCGCAGTGCACGGCAACCGAGACATGCCCAGTTTTTACGACGGGTGGATGGCGGTGCCGGATTCAGTGCTACCAACCAAAGGTAGCGGCTTTAGGGCGCCTTCCCGGGTCGCGTCCGACCAGTCTGCGCCGGTCAGCAGGCCGCTGTGCTTTCAAATATTTTGTGACAGCGACGAAGTAGTTGCAAGAATAGAAAGCTGACCCACTATGATGATGGCCCCCTCAGGATCTGCAAGACGCCCCTTTGGCGCACATGCGGCTTGTCTGTGTCCAGAGCGCCCCCCGCCATTGCAGAGTCGGACTTCCGAGTCCCGATGATCAACCGCGGCGTCGCAAACAACAACAGTGACAACAGAAGGAACCTCACAGACCTTCAGGAGACATCACAGTGGCTTGCTGGTCACGCCTTCTGGTCAAACCTCATCACGTCACTGGCAGGCGACTCCCCCAAGAACCTGATCCTCATCAACACATCTCTCTACGACGGCTTCTTGGAAGAAGCGGCCCTGGAGCTGGGAGTTCCGATCTTCTCCATGACAGACACGGCAGCCAACTTCCATTTTGCCACAGCTCTCCTGCGTGAACGGTTGCTGCAGGCCGTGTATGCAGATGTTTGCTGTTGCTCCCGTTAATTCTCTCCGCTGGAATATTTATTATTAATTAGGGGGGGGGGGGGTTCTGACAGAACGCCCGCCAATTTCCATTGCGCAACTGCTGTCAGGCCGGTTGTGCTGAGGTTTGCTGTTGCTCCCGTTAATTTTCTTCCCCCTCATCCTACACCCCCCCCCCCCCCCCCCCCCCCCCCCCCACCACTGCTTTTTCTTCTAATTTTCTTGACAACCCATTGAATTTCCGGGGCACACCCCACCAAACCAAACAAACCACGAAACTGCAGAGAAACAGGTCTTCTTCGAAGCCTCTAACCTCCCAACCCCAAACCCGTGGAGGCCTGAGCTCCTCGAGAAGATGGCCAGCTCGGCCGAAGTCAGGCTGAGGTTTTGGGGTTTGGGGGTTTAGAGGCCTGGGCTCTGGGTTTGGAGCTTGGCTTTGGAGCTTGGCGGTTTGGCTTTGTTTTGGGTTTAGAGAAGCCTGGACAAAACCCAAGCTACAACCTACCATTAAAACTTTCTTCCTTTTTCCGGATCGAACAAGACGGTTTGAGCCAAAATGGTCCTATGTAAGTCTATGTAAGTCTTTCTCTGTTTTGCTAGGATCGAGGTAATTCAGATAAAACAAGACGATGCTCCAAAGCCGCGGTGTCCACGAGACACAGGGGGCACCGAGTGCCTGTACACAGAGTCTCATGATGGCAATCGCCACAAATTACACGAGCCAACATACTCTGATACTCATGATGCTATAAGGCTTGTGTTTTCTGAAGGTTGAATATTTCTGAAGGTTGAACCACAGAGGCGGCCAATTTAAACCCAAGTCTTCAGTCTCACTTTCAGCGGGCCTCTCAAAGAGGCAAAGACAGAAAACCCAAGTCTTCAGTCTCATTTTCACTGGGCCTCTCTATCTTCCTCATTTGGGCTTGCAAGGAGGCAAAGACAGAAAACCCACCCAAGCTTCCACCGGGCCTCGATTTTTCGCATGTCGGACTTCAGCGACCCCGCTCCGCTGCTGCCATACAGCAGCGGGGCCACCGTAATCCCGCAGGAACCTTGAACATGAACCAGAGCCACGAGAGTTCGAATTGGAGAATGACATGTTTAAAATCTCTTGCTGCCACAAGGAGCCAAGGTGGTTTTTGCTCATGATGGTTTGCTGACACGCAAGGTGCTTGTTGATGTTCGCCTGGGAAGCAACGCCGATCTTTGTGAAGTCAGTGATGCACACCAACATGGCATTGTCAGCATGCACCTGGAAAATGGGAGCAGCTATTGAGCATTCAGTGGGAAAATGGGCAACATGACAGTGTGGCCTTCAACTCCTTCAAGGCCGTGGTGAGGAAGGATTCCCAGTCCGTCATTGCACTGATGTCCGACAGCAGGCGGCAAAAGCACCTCTTCTTCATAAACTCCTCAGCAACGCCCTTCCCCACGACGTTCTGAGCCTTGAGGTGGGTCACTGCCGCAATGTGCTCTCTTGCCTCTGTGTTGTTCTTCTCCCGGTGGAATCGTGCCCACTCTGCTTCGTCTTTCCTAATTACAGCGGCAACAGTCGAAACCCATGTGGCGTTACACTTCAAACATGCCTTAAACTCTGTGGACTGCGCAAAGCAAGTCTCGCGATGTGGGCACGCAACTCCTGCCACTTGGCAAGGATGGCTGCTTCTTCCACTGCCACGATGTCGAATTCTTCATCAACGGCCACTTCCTTGGGGTCTACGATGTCCGACCACAGGGTCAAGTGCTGCAACTTCCAATTGGCAACCTGGCCCTCCACGGCGCTGAGGATGTCCGGGAGGTAGTCCCTGGCAAGAAAGAGGTAGGAATGTTATGAGCCTTCGAAGCACACAGCAACATGCATCATTTCCCGGCCGCAAGCCTGTTGCGAGCAGCTGCATAGATGGCCGCCTCAGCCTCCAACTTCCCAAGCTTCTTTGCTTCTTCAGCGGCTTCCACCATGATGCAGCAGAAATCTGCCAGCTGGTCCCACTCTTGCAAGGAAGCTCTGGCCTTGCTCTTGGCACTAGCCCGCAGCTTTCTGCTTTTTTCCATGAACATACGCACATGGACCTCCACAAACAAGGTCTGCTTCGCCTCGTCCATGGTGAGAATGTCCTTTCTCCATCCCGATTTGTTGCTAGCCCCAAGGAGCCATCTGGAAGACTTGAGCAAAAGACTCGTGAAGGCACACTGGGCCCATTTGCAGCTGTGGAGGTGGCTCTGCAGCACGGCCCGCGCGGCCTCGCACGTGCCTGTCAGGAAGTTCTGAAGAGCCTTCTTGCGCTCTTCATCGACATGCCATTTTTGCAGGCATCCTGGATGGTTGTGAAACCCTTCGATCACGTGGTCCAGTCGCTTGGACACTCCCCAGCTTGCGGGAAGAGACTTCTCCTGCTGGGCCATGATTGCTCCGAACCGGAGTGCCAACGACACCACAGATGGAGGCTGTCTCTCCGACCCACGATAACTCAAGGCCAAATTGGCATACGAAATGCATTCCTGCAAGGCAAGCATCACAGAAATCTAGAGCAGAGCCGCAGGAAGGTCTTTAGGACTTTAGGAAAAGGAGGGTGGCCTGGGTCAAGTTCACGCTGATATGTAGGGGCAGCATCCACAACTTGTCCAGGATAGGGAAGAGCGGTTCCAGACGGGACCAGTCTGTGTCGTCCGCCACGTTCATTGTTGCAGCCATCAAGAGGATAAACATCAACACCGTCGCCTTGGTGTATCCCTTGACCACCTCGACGCTCAGGGCCACAAGCTTCGAAGCACCTCCGGACACCAGATTGCCCTCTATGACCATCAGATCTTTGAAGACTCTACACTGACTAATTATTCTCACGGGCCTTGGACGCTGACGTTTACACTGATGGGTTCCCGGCCGAGATCTACCCCCATGCTCAGGACACTCTCGAACAACTCAGTTGACGCATGATGTCAAATGGTTGCTGCTGGGCTGTGCTTCACTGAAGCTTCAGACTTGAAGCCGAGGTGCAGTTGCCCAGTCAATTGCACAAGGGAGTCCATCCGCGGGGATGGAAAAGCTTAGGCACGTGATGGGCCAAACAGAAGATTGTCCATGCAATGATTCTTCGGCCACCTTTGCTGCGTGCACATGCGCCATTCCATGTGGCATCACTTTGCCACTGCCCAGGAGAGTGCCAAACATGGCTCGCAACATTTAACTTTTTCCATCCGAGCTACAAACTCATCCAAGGACCGGAATGCCAAGCCGCGTCTCTCGCAGTAGCTTTTGTACCACGTGCTCAACTCAGCCACGTTGGCCTCATTCTGCACCTGGTTATGTGCAGCTAGTGCCGTTGCCACCATCATGCAGGGGTGCGTGTCTGCTGCCATCAGCCCCTCGGAGCCGTCGCGCGGCATCAAGTCCACCATGTCCTCATGAACACGCAGACACTGGGGTACAAGATGCTAGACGAGACACTGGGGGACAACATGGTACACGCAAAACACCGAGATCACATCATGGTCGCTGTCCTTCACCAAACTCAGATCTCCAGGCATCTTGTTCAGAATTTTTGCCATCCCCGAACACATCCTCTTCGGTGATGGAGTCGTAGGGTTTCCCTTGACATCTTGCTTAGCAGCCTCAGACTCTTCTTTCTTTGCCTTCTGAAGAAACTCCCGTGCCGCCAGCATCCTGGAGTACTTGTTGTAGAATGGGGCTGAGTTAATCTTGTTTTTACAGCACTGCAGCTGCTTACGAATCAGTCCTGTCCACGTGGAAAGTGGAAAGCTCTGTGCGGCAAGCCAATCACGTGGCAAGCAAACTTCAGGCTGAGAACCAAAATCTGAAAACAAAAAATGGTGGAGCAAATGATGACGGATGCTTGAAGGGCAGACGACATGCGTGAAGCAATTCTCTTTTAAAGGAGGACCCACCACGCCCATGATGCGATGCCACAGCAAAGGCCTGCACTCACTGGGTCCTGACGCCGTTTCTGGCGCCGAAATCAAAACCTAGAGCCATTGCAAAAGCTCCCGCCGTCCGGGCATCATGAGAACTATGGCCCAGGTGGACACACCTGGCCGTGGGCAACACCTCCAATGGCCTGGGCCCTCTCAGTTGATGCCATCCATGCGTCATTCGCAGCCTTGTTTCTGGCGGAGTTCTTGGCCATGTCAGAGTTTTCGATCCAAGCTTTGATGAAATTCTGGCGCAATTGCTGGAGGTTGGGACACTTCAAACGCAAGCGGCCGGGGACTTCCTCTCTCTCCACGCCTTTCTTGACGAAGCGATCATGCCATGCAGCGCTGGTCTCTCTCTTGCGCTTCTTCTCGGCCTCTGTAAGGACCTTCTTAGAGGGGGCTCCTGCAGGCTTGCGCAACACCCGCTTGGCGCAAGGCTTCTTGTTGGCCTTGCCTGGCTTGGCCTTCACTGCAGCGGGCTTGCTCTTGGCCTCCGGCATCTTCTCGGGCTCTGGGTTGTCCTCATTTTGAACAGAGGATGCGGAGCAGAAGTTTCGCCAACCCACTAGTCTGGCAAAAGATGAAATTAACCAGTGGTTGTCTGGGTCATGGTGGCAAGTAGGCACAGCAATCCTGGCTGGTATCTTCGGCCAGGTTCCCGGGGTGCTCCGCTAACTTAGGGTTCAGGCCGCAAGTGAAAACTATCACTGTCTGACTCTATTCATTCAATGGCCGGAGAGTCTCCGATTCCTCAGGCGACAGAAAGCAGCTTTACTATTTCTAGCGAGAAGACCTTCAGGTCCTTCTCGCCGGAGAGACCCGCATGCGGAACTTCTTCCACGCCGTCTTCGGTGTCCTGCAATGAACACGACACTCAGGCGACAGAAAGCAGCTTTACTATTTCTAGCGAGAAGACCTTGAGGTCCTTCTCGCCGGAGAGATCCGCATGCGGAACTTCTTCCACGCTGTCTTCGGTGTCCTGCAATGAACACGACACTGGCTCCGACTCCTCAGGCGACAGAAAGCTTTACTATTTCTAGCGAGAAGACCTTGAGGTCCTTCTCGCCGGAGAGATCCGCATGCGGAACTTCTTCCACGCTGTCTCCGGTGTCCTGCACTGAACACGACACTGGCTCCGACTCCTCAGGCGACAGACAGAAAGCAGCTTTACTGTTTCTAGCGAGACGACCTTGAGGTCCTTCTCGCAGGAGAGATCCGCACGTGGAACTTCTTCAACGCTGTCTTCGGTGTCCTGCAATGAACACGACACTGCAGGAGCCTATTGTGTGTGTGTGTGTGTGTGTGACATATGAGTGCCTCCTGCAGGGCGTCGTCGTGCTCAATCTCGCCAGACATGTCCTGCCGTGCGCAGACAATGGCCACAAAGAATCAAGACGACAAACAGAAGCACCTTCTCATCGGGCTTCGGCTCGCATGGCCCGGTGCATGTTGCGCAAGGTCGCCTCCAAGGTAAAGACACTGCCCAGCAGGGATTCAAAACAATAACAGCAAGAACCTTCGGACCTCTGCCGTTGCACATGCTCTGGCTCCATCATCATGGTCGACGCGTCCTATAAAGAGCAAACAACATTGCCGCGATACAAGGAAATATCAGACTACAAATTATTACGCAAGTGATTCGCTACACTGGTCCTGCTTCAGCATGCTCAAGTGCGGTTCCTCAGTCGATGTCCCGGGCTTCGGCGGTGTGAACAGAGACTTGGTCTCGGTAGGGCTGGAGAAAGACATGTCTGCCTTCCAAGTATTACCAAGAAATAAGTCTAAGTATGGGAGCTGGTTCTGCATGCCTCGGAAGTGGTCCTAAACAAGAACACACCAGCCTCTCGAACGTCATCATGCTGGTCAATGACAGAGCTTGAACGCAAAGGCGGCATCTCCTTAATCCCAAAAGTGGTGTAGGCCTCTGACAAATAAAATGCAACTCTGCAGTCCTCCTCGTCTCCCAACGACGTCACTCCAGCTGCGAATTCGGAAGCCTGGGCACTTCACTGCAGGGACATGGCCGTCGACCCACACGCAGAACACCCACCAAACACGAATCAGCGCGCCTGAGCCTTAGAGGCCGCACAGCCGCGGTTCATGCCTGATGAGTCTGAGGGAAGTGCCTCGGGCACCAGGGTCAGACCCTTTCTTTGTCCAGTGGCATCAGCACCTCGTTCCTGGACCGGCAACTGAGGGCCAAGCTTGTGTCTCCATCATCGAGGCAGCCCTGCCCCAAACTGCCTCACATCGGGGCTCAGAGGTGTCAGGCATCCAATTTCTGGAGAGAGGCGTGCCTCGGTCTCTGCTTTGGCAGCCAAATCGTCATTTGGCACGACTGGCTGGGCCATGACACGCACGCTGAGCCGGACCTCGGATCGAACACGTTCCGTGTTCAAGTCGGCGAAGCTGGCGACGCTCACGTTGCGCTGGGGTGGATCGTCAGCATCGTCATCCACGAAAAGTGTCTCGTCCGCATCAGGGACATCCAGGCAACCAAGCAAGAAGTGATTGCTGTGCATGGCAATTGGTCGGATGGGGAATGTGGGCCTACTTCTGAATCTTCTGACCTCATAAGCGGCACGCCCGTCATGGGTTGCTTCTTCCCCCCCGGGGCCATGAAGACAGTCAGTGACACACACAGTCCGACTGTCATCATTCCTCCTCTTTCCACGCACGACCGCAGCGGGTTGCTGCTTCCCCCCTGGCCGTCGAGATAAACCCCGTGTGCTCAGAACTTCACTTGCTGAGCATGCGCCCCTCGGTGCAATCACTGGGACATTTCATGCGCAGCTTCATGTTTCTTGGGCTACCTCGTGTCATGAGAGAGCCCAGCACCTTCAATAATTTCTCAGGAGCTGGGTTGGGCTACATCCACACACACCTACTTTGACTGGATCCGTACATGTTTAAAAAAAGTGCTCCGTCAGAAATGCCCAGTCCTGTCTGAGTCTGTCACTCAGTGAAAGACAGCAGGCAGCAGCAGCTCGCATCGATGCGATGGCTTGTAACACACTCGATTTAAGTATGAGCTGATGCGAGCTTCTGCAAACTCTAAATAACTGTCGTGGTCCTAGGGACTTCAGAGGCACGTGCCACGCAGGATGCATGTGGCGAATGTCTAGCACAAAACGGTCTTGAAGGTTCTTATCCAGTTTTGCCTCCCACGTGAAGTTTCAAGATGAACCAGACACCTTGTCTTTTACACGGCAGCAAATCTATCTTCAAATTCGTCGTTTCCTGCTCAGGTGAAAGTGTGTCATTGATATTTAGGCCGAGTCTCTTGTCTGGTTTCTGTGCTGTCTTTCGGCCTTCTACGTTTCATCCAGATCTGTAGGCTGAGGCTGAAGCTTTCAGAGTTTTCGAAACAAAAGCAATCACGACCGACCAGAGCGAAGCATCAGTAAAGAAGAGATATTGAAAACAAATATCGGTCTCACTGATGGGAGGCTCGGGAGGTGGATTTTCCGTCGGTGGAGATTTCCCCTAAACCCTAAACCCTAAACCCTAAACCCTAAACCCTAAACCCTAAACCCTAAACCCTAAACCCTAAACCCTAAACCCTAAACCTCCTTCGCAGTGTACAGCTCCCAGCTCCCAGCTCTCAGCTCCCAGCTCTCAGCTCCCAGCTCCCAGCTCCCAGCTCTCAACTCCCAGCTCTCAGCTCCCAGCTCCCAGCTCCCAGCTCTCAGCTCCCAGCTCTCAGCTCCCAGCTCCCAGCTCCCAGCTCTCAGCTCCCAGCTCTCAGCTCCCAGCTCCCAGCTCCCAGCTCTCAGCTCCCAGCTCCCAGCTCTCAGATCCCAGCTCTCAGCTCCCAGCTCTCAGCTCCCAGCTCCCAGCTCTCAGCTCCCAGCTCCGAGCTCCCAGCTCCGAGCTCCCAGCTCCGGGCTCCCAGCTCCCAAAAACAAAAAACAACACCCGGCAAAACCCGCCAAAAGCCCCCAAAACCCGACAAAACTCCGGACACAAACCCTATATAATTTCTATAAACCTTAAACCCCAAACCGAAACTCATTTGATGGATGCAGCACAAGCACAAACAAAGTCGGGCGACGGCATTTTCGATGCAGCGGACCCTGGGCCGGGAGATTTTCGATGCAGCGCTCACCTCGCGCAGCCCAGAATCAATGCATCAGTCCGGAACTGCTGCTGTGAAAATCATCACATGAAAGGAATGGACAGTCAAGGACCCTAGGCCGGCAGATTATCGACGCAGCGCTCACCTGGCAAACCCCAGAATCGATGCATCAGTCCGGAAACGCTGTTTTGAAAAGCCTGACATCAACAGAACTGACACGGTTCCTCGCTTGGCAACAAATTCGGTTGCAAAACCATAGACTATATCATGAAAACACATTATAAAGCAGATTCTAATATAAATACAAATTTGTATTTAGGTCAATATATATATATATATATATAGTGTATATACATATAAATATTAATATAAAAATAAAAATAATTATAAATATAAATACAATTATAAAAAATAAATATAAATATATATATATAATATAGTTATATATGTATTTATTTATTTATATTATGTTATCTCAGATGATTTATATGATACTGTGGTCTGGCACTCGCGCCGCTGTCTGTATGGAATCCCCCTTTCCCTCGCCAAATGTGTATCCACTGCATTGAAATCGTTTCCAACTTCCCAAAAAGAATCAATGCAGCCTTCCGGGAATGCTGCATTGAAAAACTGTTTTCTGGAGCCACACCCCCGATTTAACATAAGGATGTTGATTTTGGTTTCGGGGGCGTGGCTCCAGAAAACAGGTTTTCAATGCAGCATTCCCGGAAGGCTGCATTGATTCTTTTTGGGAAGTTGGAAACGATTTCAATGCAGTGGATACACATTTGGCGAGGGAAAGGGGGATTCCATACAGACAGCGGCGCGAGTGCCAGACCACAGTATCATATAAATCATCTGAGATAACATAATATAAATAAATAAATACATATATAACTATATTATATATATATATATATATATATATATTTATATTTATTTTTTTATAATTGTATTTATATTTATAATTATTTTTATTTTTATATTAATATTTATATGTATATACACTATATATATATATATATATTGACCTAAATACAAATTTGTATTTATATTAGAATCTGCTTTATAATGTGTTTTCATATATCATAGTCTATGGTTTTGCAACCGAATTTGTTGCCAAGTGAGGAACCGTGTCAGTTCTGTTGATGTCAGGCTTTTCAAAACAGCGTTTCCGGACTGATGCATCGATTCTGGGGTTTGCCAGGTGAGCGCTGCGTCGATAATCTGCCGGCCTAGGGTCCTTGACTGTCCATTCCTTTCATGTGATGATTTTCACAGCAGCAGTTCCGGACTGATGCATTGATTCTCGGCTGCGCGAGGTGAGCGCTGCATCGAAAATCTCCCGGCCCAGGGTCCGCTGCATCGAAAATGCCGTCGCCCGACTTTGTTTGTGCTTGCGCTGCATCCATCAAATGAGTTTTATAGAAATTATATAGGGTTTGTGTCCGGAGTTTTGTCGGGTTTTGGGGGCTTTTGGCGGGTTTTTGCCGGGTGTTGTTTTTTGTTTTTGGGAGCTGGGAGCCCGGAGCTGGGAGTTCGGAACTCGGAGCTGGGAGCTCGGAGCTGGGAGCTCGGAGCTGGGGCACCTGGGAGCTGGGGCACCTGGGAGCTGGGAGCTGAGAGCTGGGAGCTGAGAGCTGGGAGCTGGGAGCTGGGAGCTGAGAGCTGGGAGCTGGGAGCTGGCCTGGGACTCTTTTTGGTGTTCGGGGGTCGCGCTTGTTTTGGTCTTTTGTTTTACACTGCGAAGGATGAAGGGCTATTGTACGAGTTGCTCGTAATGAAACGCGTACATTTTCTATTTATCCTGGCCTTGAGGGATTAGGGATTAGGGTTTAGGGTTGTTTAGGGTTTGTCACAGGGTTTAGGGTTTAGGGTTTAGGGTTTAGGGTTTAGGGTTTAGGGTTTAGGGTTTAGGGTTTAGGGTTTAGGGTTTAGGGTTTAGGGGAAATCTCCACCGACGGAAAATCCACCTCCCGAGCCTCCCATCAGTGAGACCGATATTTGTTTTCAATATCTCTTCTTTACTGATGCTTCGCTCTGGTCGGTCGTGATTGCTTTTGTTTCGAAAACTCTGAAAGCTTCAGCCTCAGCCTACAGATCTGGATGAAACGTAGAAGGCCGAAAGACAGCACAGAAACCAGACAAGAGACTCGGCCTAAATATCAATGACACACTTTCACCTGAGCAGGAAACGACGAATTTGAAGATAGATTTGCTGCCGTGTAAAAGACAAGGTGTCTGGTTCATCTTGAAACTTCACGTGGGAGGCAAACCTAAAGCCTACACACCGCGTGAACCCGACATTGCTTCAACATCCTAAGCAGCCTGACTGAAACCTCACACCCTGGCGGCACTCGTCCCATGCCTGTGAAACTTGCTGCACAGAGAAGCTGCGAAGTGATGCTGGCTGGCCGAGAAGAAATAAAAGCTCACACACGACACGGCTCGTAACTGATCATTTCTTGGGGATGCCAAAGATCGATCTATGGTCCTGTCTACATTTTCCAAGCTGACCAACTCCAGCTTCAATTAGGCAGTCGCCTCCACACTGCTCGCAGAGGCACTGCAGGAGAAAGAGCGGCAATCAAGCAGTCTGGAAATTGCACGGGGCCCGCCTGCTGCGCTGCAGGGCCATGATCTCCTTGGTAGCCCAGGATATAACGGGAATCCACGCTCGTTCCGAACCAAAACATGAGAATGCCAGCAAGGATCCCATGTGCCATGGCAAAGGCGGGGGCACGGATGTGTTGTAGAAAACATCAGCGCACAAGTCTCGCAGGTACTGCGCCGACACCTCGTAGGCTGGGCCATACGCGCGCACGACCAGGCGTGCGGTTTCTAGCCAAGCTTGCTTTGCAGCTGTGCACTCTCGCAGGGGCTGTTTGGCCCGCGGAACCATGGTGTCCAAGCGGGAAAACCGTGCGTGGGTTAATGTCAGCAAGGGAGGCTGTGACAGCTGCTCATCGCATATGTACTTCTTGATGACTGTAACGACATCATTGGATTGCACGGCCGCTCGCATGCTGCCCGTTGTGATGCGGTGCTTGTAGATGTCCGGCAGATCTGAGAAGCGCAAGCAGCAGCTTCATGTTTCATGTTTCATGGTCGTGGCCTTACTTGCTTCACCCCGCCCCAAGAAGAGCCTCGCACTTGCATGGCCAAGAAGAAGTGGTTACCCGTGTCGTCTTTCAGAAGTCCACCTGACGACATGTCAGCAGGGGCCGGGGTGCCGTTTTCAGCGAGGAGCAGAGGGTTCACTTTCGACAGACACTGCCTTCATAGCCCACGCGCAACTGCTCCAGATGAGCAGACCATGCTCGAACACTATTTGTCTTCATCGTCTTCACAAGGGTTTCCTCTCCCAGCCAGCGCTTCAAGCCAGGCCTGGAAGCCTCGGCCGCAACGATCTTGACCATGTCTTGGTCTGTCAAGAGAGCGTCGCTGTTCGCCAACCGGCGGGCCAGGATTCCAAACAGCTGGTCTGACAGGCCAGGGGCAAGCTAGGCATTAGCGAACCAAGGGGAGGAAGAACCCAGTGCCAGATTGAAGGTTTTTTGAAACGAGAAAGTTGCCTATTCTTTCATGCGTGTGGTTCTTGCGAAGGAAGCCCAAACCAGCGGACTTGAAGGCGCCCGAGGCAGTCAGCATATTCAGGTATGCCATCAGTTGCCAGTTTTTGTTTTCTCTCACCGTGTTGTCGGCCTGCAAGAGTCACACAAGGATCGAAGAGGCCAGAAACACACTAGAATGGGCCGCCTCTGTGGTTCAACCTTCAGAAAACACAAGCCTTAGAGCATCATGAGTATCAGAGTATGTTGGCTCGTGTAATTTATTGCGATTGCCATCATGAGACTCTGTGTACAGGCACTCGGTGCCCCCTGTGTCTTGTCGACACCGCGGCTTTGGAGCATCGTCTTGTTTTATCTGAATTACCTCGATCCGAGCAAAATAGAGAAAGACTTACATAGACTTACATAGGATCATTTTGGCTCAAACCGTCTTGTTCGATCCGGAAAAGGGAAGAAAGTTTTAATGGTAGGTTGTAGCTTGGGTTTTGTCCAGGCTTCTCTAAACCCAAAACAAAGCCAAACCGCCAAGCTCCAAAGCCATGTTTCTCTGCAGTTTCGCGGTTTGTTTGGTTTGGTGGGCTCAGGGTGCTCGGCTTCGTCAAGATTTCGTGGCAGGGTCGTGTGCCCCGGAAAATCAATGGGTTGTCAACAAGAAAAAGCAGTGGTGGTGGGGGGGGGGGGGGGGGGGGTGGGGGGGGGGGGGGGGGGGGGGGGTGGGGTTGGTGGGTGGTGGGGGGGGGGGGGGGGTGGGGGGGGGGTGGGGGGGGGTGGTTGTGTGTTGTGGGGGGTGGGGGTGGGGGGGGGGGGGGTGGGGGGGGGGGGGGGGGGGGGGGCGGGGGGGGGGGGGGGGGGGGTGGGGGGGTGGGGGGGGGGGGGGGGGGGGGGGGGGGGGGGGGTGGGGGGGGGGGGGGGGGGGGGGGGGGGGGTGGTGGGGGGGGTGAGGGGGGGGGGGGGAACACGCCCAAGACACCTGGGACACAAAGCAAATTTGGGGGCGGGGCGGGGTGGGGCGGGGGGGTGGGGCGGGGTGGGGCATGCACTGTTTGCCACATGTCGGCAACCTCTGGCAAAATGACTTTTTGCCTGTTTTCTGCCAAAAAGTCATTCTGCCACACGTTAGCAACCTGTGGCACAATGACTTGTTGCTTGCTTTTTGCTTAGAAGCCACGGTGCCACACGTTAGGCAACCTGTGGCACAATGACTGTTTTCTTGTTTTTTGCTTGTTTTCTGCCAAAAAATCATTTTGCCACATGTCAGCAACCTGTGGCAAAATGACTTTTTGCTTGTTTCCTGCCAAAAAGGCATTGTGCCACACGTTAGGCAACCTGTGGCACAATGACTTGTTGCTTGCTTTTTGCTTGTTTTCTGCTAAAAAGTCATTTTGCCACATGTTAGCAACCTTTAAACAGTCATTTTGCCACTTGCTTCGAGCTGCCAAGGGCCAGTTTAAGTTTTTAGGGCCTCTCAACTGCTTGCTTCGAGCTGCCACTCAACTGCTTGCTTCGAGCTGCCAAGGGCCTCTCAACTGCTTGCTGCCAGCTGCCAGGGGCCAGTTGTGAGAGTTTAGAGCCTCTGAATCGCTTGCTTCGAGCTGCCACGGGCCAGGTGTTAAAGTTTGGAGCCTTTTAATCGCTTGCTTCGAGCTGCCAGGGACCAGTTGTGAGGGTTCAGAGCCTCTTAATCGCTTGCTTCCAGCTGCCAGGGGCCAGTTGTGAGAGTTAAGAGCCTCTTAATCGCCTGCTTCCACTGCCAGAGGCAGTTGTGAGAGTTTGGAGCCTCTTAATCGCTTGCTTCCAGCTGCCAGTGGGATTCCTTGGTCCAGATTTATCACAAAAATGGGTCGGCGTTTTGGGGGATTCCTTGCTCCAGATTTATCACAAAAATGGATGAGCGTTCTGTGCCCTGATTTATCACAAAATGGGTTTAGGCCGGAAGCAGGATCTTGAGAGGAATCTGGTCCTGATTCATCACAAAATCGAGGTTGCGTGCTGTGGCCGGCATTTTTCGAGCCACCCGTTCGGACCCCGGAGCTCCGTGGCAATGTGTTTTTGCGAGGAATCAGGTCCTGATTCCTCGCAAAACTTGTTTTTTTGGAAAGTGCGTTTTTGTGATAAATCAGGGTCGGTCCTCTCACAAAAATGGGTCGTTTTGGGGGCTTCCGTGCTCCAGATTTATTGCAAAAATGGGTCGGCGTTTTGGGTAATTCCTTGGTCCAGATTTATCACAAAAGTGGGTCGGTGTTTTGGGGGCTTCCGTGCTCCAGATTTATTACAAAAATGGGTCGGCGTTTTGGGTAATTCCTTGGTCCAGATTTATCACAAAAGTGAGTCGGTGTTTTGGGGGATTCCGTGCTCCAGATTTATCACACAAAAATGGGTCGGCGTTTTGGGAAGTCCTTGGCCCAGATTTATCACAACAGTGGGTCGGCGTTTTGGCGGATTCCGTGCTCCAGATTTATCACAAAAATGGGTCGGCGTTTTGGTGGATTCCTTGGTCCAGGTTTTGGGGCCGAACCCAGGCCAAACCCTGAACCCTAGAGCCTGCTCCAAATATCCCACTAAAGCGGGTTGGGCTTTTGGGAAGGTCCATGCTGCAAGCAGTTGAGAGGCCCTAAAAACTAAAAACTGGCCCTTGGCAGCTCGAAGCAAGCAGTTGAGAGGCCCCAAAAACTTAAACTGGCGCTTGGCAGCTCGAAGCAAGCAGTTCAGAGGCCCTAAAAACTTAAACTGGCCCTTGGCAGCTCGAAGCAAGCAGTTGAGAGGCCCTAAATACTTAAACTGGCTCTTGGCAGCTCGAAGCAAGTGGCAAAATGACTTTTTGGCAGAAAACAAGCAAAAAGTCATTTTGCCAAAGGTTGCTAACATGTGGCAAAATGACTTTTTGGCAGAAAACAAGCAAAAAGCAAGCAACAAGTCATGGTGCCACAGGTTGCCTAACGTGTGGCACAATGACTTTTTGGCAGGAAACAGGCAAAA